CTCAGCTGGAATCCCAACAAATGCAGAATGACCTGGAGTATGTGGGAAAATCCCCACCCAATGTGGAGTAGCATCAGTCTCCACCCGCTTACCTCTAAGGTCTGTCCAAAACTCTCCACCTGCTGAGAGTCAATTGGCTTCCTCATCGAAGCCTCAACCGAAGTGACACAATCAGACCTATCTTCCAATAGAGTTTTACCTCCAATCACAGCAGTTGACAACTCTTTAATAGGATGACCCAAATATGTCGAAGCCTCTGTCCAGAAACTCTTCTGCAAACCATTGCTCGACCACAAACACCGATCCTCCTCCAACAAGGCACGGTTCTCCAAATTTGTCACCTTATCTAGTTGTCCCAAGATTTCTTTTCCAACGAAGTGTCTCGCAATGCCGTGAGCTCGGCTCCAATGCAGAAACAGGTCCATCTTGTACCTCCGACCAGAATGGAGTACCTTCACCTTTCTGCCAATATCACACTTCTTTAATTTGTTGGAGACTACTAGGACTTTATCCATAGGGGATTTGGTTGCAACCCAAACACGCCTAGAACAGCCACCAACAAAGAAAACCAAATTTCGATTACCTCCCAATGATGCCCCCTTGGAAAGCCCCCAAACATCCACGTGAACTCCTCCAGAACGACCCTTAGCACGGTGAATAGAGGTGCCACACTTCACCTCGGTCTTCTTGCTCACATCAACATGTTCACTGGACTTTAAATTGCAGGTCTTTACACCCTCTTTCAATCTATGCGAGGAATCAATACTGAAATGGCCAAGCCCCAAATGCCGCATTCTTCTCAAAAGCACAAAAGCTTATTTGCACGAAGCCAAAGAAAGCCGCTGACTTTTTCTCCCACTGCCGCACTTTTCTTTTTCTTTGCAGCAGCCTCTGTTTCTGCGATTTTCTTTTGCACTTCTGCTCTTGCACCTACGCTGTACTTCCACAAAGCAAAACGCAGCAAAAACCCTACTTTGCACCTGCCTCCAAGCCCCTTGCACAAGCCCTTCGTAGCCGCCACCCACAAAATCCTTCCTTGCACTAATCCCAGCCGAAACAAAAGAAATCCTCTTTGCACGCAAAGCCAAGGCTGCACAATCCTCTGCCGACCCCTCTCTTCACTCTGCACTTGCTTGCACCAAAAGAGAATTCAGTCGCCCCCCTCACAAACAGTCCAGGAGATGTTGATATAGGAGATTCCGGAGTGGGATTATCTGATTGTGACGAGTTGAAGTTCACACTTTGGGATTGTCTTCGACCAACTTGTCTTGCTGTGGGGACATCATCTTTGAATTTTTCAAAATTTTTAACCATATTCCAGACATGATCAAATTTGAAACCTTTTTTGTACTTTGGTTCTTGCATAAATAACATCTTTACTCGAACTAACTGCAAATTATAGTGAACATCAAGTTATGTATTTCAACAATAATAATAAAATTCAGACGATAATTAATAGAATACTTACAATATCTTCATCTGAAGCACCACTTGGATTCAGATTCTCTACTTGTCTCAAGCACGCATTCAATTTCCTTACTTCATTACTTATGATTTCCATTCGAGAACGAATTGATCGGCTCGTACGCACATCAGAATTTTGGTCTCGAAGTTCATTGTATCTGTCCTCCACACGAGACCAAAATGCATCTCGAGACTGGTTTCTACCGATAATAGGGTCTTGAGAAATATCCAAGAATACTTAACAAAGGAGCACATCTTTAGTAACCATGTATCCAGTTGATCGAACTGATATTTTTTTGTAAAAAGCGGTTGGTTTGGAGATTAGAAATACTTTGAAGAAATACTTAGAATTGGGTGGTTTGAAGTAGAAACCGTGAATGTTATTTATAGCCAATCCAAATTTGTTTTTTTGTTTGAATTTGAATTTGAATTTGAATTTGAATTTGAATTTGAATTTGAATTTGAATTTGAATTTGAATTTGAATTTGAATTTGAATTTGAATTTGAATTTGAATTTGAATTTGAATTTGAATTTGAATTTGAATTTGAATTTGAATTTGAATTTGAATTTGAATTTGAATTTGAATTTGAATTTGAATTTGAATTTGTCGGTGGGAATCAAAATTTGAAATCAGGTCAGCTTTACACATTATCCAACGTTGTCGGTGGGAATCAAAATTTGAAATCAGGTCAGCTTTACACATTATCCAACGTTGTCGGTGGGAATCAAATTTTGATATCAGATTAGCTTTACACATTATCCAACGTTGTCGGTGGGAATCAAAATTTGAAATCAGGTCAGCTTTACACATTATCCAACGTTGTCGGTGGGAATCAAAATTTGAAATCAGGTCAGCTTTACACATTATCCAACGTTGTCGGTGGGAATCAAAATTTGAAATCAGGTCAGCTTTACACATTATCCAACGTTGTCGGTGGGAATCAAAATTTGAAATCAGGTCAGCTTTACACATTATCCAACGTTGTCGGTGGGAATCAAAATTTGAAATCAGGTCAGCTTTACACATTATCCAACGTTGTCGGTGGGAATCAAAATTTGAAATCAGGTCAGCTTTACACATTATCCAACGTTGTCGGTGGGAATCAAAATTTGAAATCAGGTCAGCTTTACACATTATCCAACGTTGTCGGTGGGAATCAAAATTTGAAATCAGGTCAGCTTTACACATTATCCAACGTTGTCGGTGGGATCTTCGGATGATGATAATTTTCTGTCCAATATCATTGCAGAGATTGATGAAACCGAAGAAGTAATTTGTGAGTACATCAACAACAACATGATCCTCGTTAACAATTTACGTCAACAAAACTACCAACCGATCTATGGTGGCTCGATTCCCGGTCATGCAGTAATCAACCGCGATCGAGAAAATGCGCATCAGAATTTGGTCATAGATTACTTTGCCGATAATCCACGTTTTGGAGAAGATATGTTTCGTCGTCGATATCGGGTGTCAAGAAGTTTGTTCCATCGTATTGTTGATGCAGTGAAAGATCATGACTATTACTTCCAACAACGAAGTGATGGACTTGGTAGAATGGGATTATCACCGTTACAGAAAGTAACAGCTGTTTTTCGCATGTTGGCATACGGTTTACCAGCTGATGCTACGGACGAATACGTTAAAATAGGTGAGTCAACAGCAATTAAAAGTATGACAAAATTTTGTCGTGCTATGGTGGAAATATTCGCAGAGCGGTATCTACGAACACCTAACGCTAACGATATTGCTAGGCTACTCTATATTAGTAAAAAACATGGTTTTCCAGGAATGTTAGGAAGTCTTGATTGTATGCATTGGAAATGGAAAAATTGTCCAACAGCATGGTCTGGGCAATACACAGGACGTAGTGGGTCACCAACTATTATCCTCGAAGCTGTGGCAGATTATGATCTTTGGATATGGCACGCATATTTTGGTATGCCAGGCACCAATAATGATATCAATGTGCTGGAGTCATCTAATCTTTTCTCTAACCTAGCTCAAGGTATTGCTCCTCCCGCTCACTATGTTATTCAAGGAAAAGAGTATAATATGGGTTATTATTTAGCTGATGGTATATATCCGAAATGGGCTACTATTGTACAAACAATCCAACAGCCACAAGGTAGGAAGAAAAAATATTTTGCCATGAAACAGGAAGCATGTAGAAAAGATGTAGAACGTGCGTTCGGAGTTCTCCAATCACGATTTGCAATCGTGGCAGGATCAGCACGTTTTTGGAAAAAACATGTATTACATGACATAATGACTGCATGCATTATTATGCACAATATGATAATCGAGGATGAACGTGATCTTTATGCACCAATTCAAGAAGTGAGGGAAGCACCAACACCAGAAGTTGATATGGTAGCAGATGAAACTACAAGATTTACTCAATTTATTACACGTTACGGAAAAATCAAGGATAAAGATGCTCATATTGCGCTTCGTAATGCATTGATAGATCATCTATGGGAGGAATACACTAATTCAGATAGTTAAGTGCATACTAAATTTGTAATTTTTACATTGTTGTTAATGTTTAATTATTTCCTTGTATTTTATTTCCTGTTGTGTTCTTGAATGTAATATTTTGGCAATATCAATAATAAAAATATAATATTTTAGCAATCAAGTTATTTTAATTAATAAAATAATATTTTATTGTTTTATTAGTTTAATTTTTAAATAATAAATCATTTTGTTTGGAAAATATGTGAAAAAATAAAATTTGATATGTGGGGTTAATTGTTGAAATAGTTAAAAATATAGGGAATAAAAAATAATCATATAAAAGTAGATAAAAAGAAAGATACTGAGAATATTTCTTTTTGGTGCAAAAAATGGTGCAATGGGTTGTAGATGAATTACTGTTAGATGTGACTTTTGCACCATTTTGGTGCAAAATTTGCACCATGTTGAGGCAAAGGGTTGGAGATGCCCTTAGAGCCATCAACATACTACGCTCATTTTGAGTTGATAATCTTTTCATTGCTAGTGCCTATAAAAACATTATGTTTTTTTATCGTAAATACTATTTTCTTTAAGAGAGAACCCCTCATGTAAGATGCGCATGCGTCATCACCAAGATGTTGAATTCATAGCCGCTCCATAATTCCCGCTGGAACTAATTTTAGAATAAATCAAAACTGGTGTGCACCCCGTAGTACAAAGCACGGCCTCCCTTTTTTGTTTCCGCTACTGTAATTCCTTTTAAAGTAATACAGGAATTTTTTGTAAACACTACAGTAATTTTTAAAATTCTACAATATTCTCTATATGCTACTAATTCACTGTATCATTTACTGTGGTATGAATAATAGTGAATCTTAGGAACCTCCTATGGCTATAAGTAATTCTTTTTAAAGTAATACAGAAAATTTTTGTAAACACTACAGTAATTTTTAAAATTCTACAATATTCTCTTTATGCTACTAATTCACTGTATCATTTAATGTAGTATGAATAATAGTGAATCTTAGGAACCTCCTATGGCTATAAGTATAGAGGAGTAGATGCTATCAGACATTTCAAAACTCCATTATTGTTCTGGCATGATTCTAAACTCACTACTTCAAATCATTTGTACACAGGACTCTTAGCATGCATTCATAACAGTATCTCAAAATGTCATCACCCTAACTATATTGATTCTTTTTGGCAGTAGTACTGATGAAGTTACAGTTGTGTACAAAAACATTCTCGAGGAAAGGCACTCTACGTTGTTGATCTTGATGCTGTTCGCGGACATATAACTAGAATCAGATTGCAAGGGCCAACTTGCCAGTATTTCGATCCGAAGAAGCTTGTTTTTTTATATCCACACCTTTACCTGTTAAAATCAGCAGCGTCGTTAGTGTCTCATTCAGAAATTAATGTGTGGGATCAGCTATGCGTATATGAGTTTCCTCAAAAAGCTCTGCATATATAATAACAGATGTTTTCATATCCAATGTAACTTTCAATCAGTGGTAGGTGATCAATCATAAGGTAGTAAAGATAAGGGGCATGACTGATCAAGACTAGATCTTTTATCGACTCAATTATCTTTAGATGCTAGATTTTCTAACTCTTAGTTTTCACTAGTATAAAAAATTTCTCTTAGGACGATTGATGTAACAAATGGAATAATGGGCCTCTTAATAAAAAATATCAACATTCTCATCATCATTTCTTAACAACCTCAACAGATCTTTTAACTATAGCAATCACATAAAATTTTTAAGTTTCATGAAATGCAAAACTAAAATATGCGTGCTATATCCACATCCCTTGAAAGACTATGGTCATTCAGGTTGACAAAAAGATCCACATTAGCAGGAAATAAACCATAACAACTATACTTTCAATAATTATTGACTTGGCATTCTCTTAGGATTTAAATAGCAGGTGGTTGGCTGCAATACTGCTTTCCATAAAGTAACAGTTCATTTCCTTGATTATATATTTTGGAAAGGGGGTGAACTTCAAATTCTTGAAATGCTTACCCTCTCTGTCTGTTTTCTTTCTGCTGCGCCATAGAAGACGGATTGGCGTACCAGGAAAACCAGCATTAGACCTTAGTTGCTTTTCCATGTAACGTCGGTATGTCTCAGGGAAAAGCTTCGCATCATTAACAAAGAAAACAAATGTTGGAGGGCGAATGGCAGCCTGCGGAGCAAAAAGAAAGGTTTTTAGAGCACCAATATAGGGAGGGGGGGGGGACTTAATTGCAATATTGTAGAGAAGCAAGTTCATATAAAACTTCATGGATAGCTATTTTAATGTTGAATTCCAAATGTACGTCATTGTGGATATGAATGAGAATAAAACAACATATTCCCACTGTTTTACTACCACCATTGTTTCCAGACTTTAAGTGGATGCAAAAAAGAGCTACCAGGTTGCAAAAGTGTCTAACTGTTGCGGCTCACTATACCAGGACACATCATAAACATGGTAGTCCATTAGCAAGCAAACATGCGGTGTTTGGCTATTAAATGTCATTAAAAAGCAAAAGAAGATGCTCTAGAATTCCAATAAATGTAGATTATTTCTAATATCATTGCATCTACTATCTATTCAAAAACCAAAACAAGACTGACATTGGGTCCGCCAGCTAGCAAATTCATCCTGGTATGAGGATCCAGAGGCAAACTCACATCATCCTCAATCAGTCTTGTTCTTCACTGTTCACCTACAGCTGGCCCTCTCCATGGATTCAAAGATAAAGGTATCTCAATTATACAATTATTTACAAAATGATCTAAGTGATACTTACACGGTGCTTATTACATGAGTATGACCTTTATTGTACCCCAAAAGAGGACACAAAAAAAATTCAGACTACTTGTCTTGTCAACCCACAGCAGTAATAATAAATGTACTGCTTACCGCACATAAGATATAAATATCAAAGACAACATATTTTATGCTAATAGATTGTTAGGAAGCAACCTACACCTACCTGAACCATTTGGAAAAACATAAGATACCTTCTACCAGAGGGAGGTTACAAGTTGTACACGGATTTGCATGGTGAATTGTGATTTCTGATGTATCAATAGTACTTTGTTAAAATTTAAGCTTCTAGAGGAGAATTAATGAAGAAAGCTAATTTAAACAATACACATTTGCTACCAAAATAAAGGGAATTTGAACAAGCACACAACTATACACATGCCAAACTACTAATACCATGATTCTCAATAGATATTTGGAGATGAAACTAGATTTTTGGTAAAGCACTCAAGATAGGAGAAGTCATATGTTCAAGCAGGTTCAAAGTCACCAACATGTTCAGAGAAATCCTCTGCTTTATTAGGAAGAAGATTAAAGTTATCTGCCTTACTCGAATTATTGGTTCACACAGAAAAAAAGAGTAAAACTAAGCAATTTTGACATGAATATCAGTCGCAAGCACATCAATGGTATTTGTGCTCATTTATGCCTTTCAGAATTGTGGCAAACAGTAGGGGGGCAGGGAATATTTCTCAATTGGTACTTGTGCTCATTTATACCACTACTTTCTAAACCGATACTGACTAGAGAACACACCCTACTATACAATGTCCAACTTTTCCCAGATCAAACACTAGCCACAAGATTACCATTTTGGGACTTCTCCATCGGTACTGCCATTGCACCGGAGTAAAACTAAAATTACACTGAGTTTCTGAAAACAGATGACTGAAAAATCACAGAACCACCTCTTCCATGACAGGCACTCTAACAAAATGATATGAGATGGTACAGTGCAAGAAGTTCACCTGGGTACTAAAATAAACACGCCCTCTCTTGCCACCTCTTGTCCTTGGTGGAGGTTTGAAGGCCACTGCTTCTTGTACGACTTGATTCAGTATGGATGTACCAAGCCGCCTAGATCTCTCTTTTTCAACCATACTGGCAGCATTTATAATCCTGGAGAACAACATGGACCGTTAGTTTCAAGTACAATATAGATACACATAACAAGAATATAATAACATAAAATGCTCAGTTGCTTAGTTAACAAGATGTTAAAGCATATTGCAGGCAAGCACATAGTAAGAATCATAGAAATCAAAAGTCCAATATCCAAATGAAAAGGACTTGGAAAACATGTACAACCCGAAAATTGATAAGACAATCAAGTTAAACAAGAAGGAAAATAGTTATACTCGTGTATATGTAAGCTGTTGTCAAAAAGTCCTGAGAATTTCATACGAAATAACAACAATGATAAAACAAAGCCTTTACTCAAATTTTTGGGGTCACGGCTACATGAATCCTACTCTCACATCAGTTCTATTGAGGGTTATCCATTAAGTTAAACATTACCGTATCCTTCTTATCAGCTTCCTACCAAGTCCTCTTAGGCCTACCTCTGGTCCTCCTTTCTCGAATAATTATAACCTTATCACTTCTCCTAATCACTGCATTACCACGGTCACACATGACCATACTATCTGGAATGATCCGACAGCAAAAATTGAAGAGTAAGTTGGTCCCAAGAAGATCAAAAGACAAGCCAGCGATGTTGAAAGATTCTTGAACTTTCAAGAAGTTATTTGTGCTTGGCAGAGAGGCTGCAAATTGGAGCCTGAATTCACCAATAGAATGCACAAGATTCAATGGGAGGAAAAGCAACATGTCCTCACAAAGCAGCAGGAAGAAACAAGCAGGATTAACTAAACCACAATCAGCAAATCAATAGCTGGGTACATATATTATTCCATGGAGACTAAAGAACGTATTGTTATTGGTTGACATACATAAGGCCATCCAAGCGTGGAAGGATGGATATAGCTCCCTGGAATACTACTATTTTGCAGCGAGCCAACACTGGAAGCCAAAACTATCATCAATATTATACTGATGTTACTTTGCACTGTTGTTATGAAGTGATCCAACACGAAACAAAAATTTTTAGTACCTGATCTCAAATTAAAAAATAATAAATACCTCCAATCAAGAACACTATGCTACTATCAATTATCAACAAATTGTAATATATTCTCTCCTAAAATTTTTCTAATGGGTGTCAAGGATAGATCAAACTCAGAAAAATTAACATACTTGAAATAGATAGCATCTAAAACTCAAGCATAACAGGATACCAAGCATAAAGACGATAGAGAGAAAATGGTATTTACTTTTCAACACTTTGACCGGTTATTGCAGTTGAATAAACAATTGGTGCCCAATTAAGGAGTCGGAGCTTCTCTCTGACATCTTGTTCATAATATGTTGTCGTCTCTTGTTTTTTGCTTGGTATTGTATCCCATTTGTTTACAACAATAACACATCCTTTTCCTTCTTTCTCAATTCTCTCCGCGATTTTGTAATCCTACATAGCAAACAGAATTGAAAACAGGACTACATCAACATGTTTAGATAGTAGGGCAAGACTGCATAAAAAATTATAGGCAATAAATCAAATAATTGCAATATGAACCGTGATTTAACCAGACAGGTGACTCAGAATATTGAACCATGAACTATTTCTGTTGAAATCACATGTTGTCTACAAGTAACAAGATACAATCTAGAGACACTCCAACAGAGAAGATGCATATCCAGGGAAATTTCAACCAACACAGTTACTCATAAGTATGCAAGAGTGCTAAATGAATTCTTCTTCGCTAAATCCTAAACATTGAAATACTTGTTTGAAATCAAAGCCTAATAAATTCTTCTAAAGGATACACCTAAATAATTATATCCGCCTCCTTCCTATTAATTTAATGTAATCTGATTAAATATACTTCTAGGAGATGCTTTGTCCACCTCAAATGTCCTTCACTATGCTCCTGGTAAGCAATTCATGTATTCTGCCAACGTCATCATTTTGGTCCATGCCTATCTTTACTTGCTGGAATGTTTACTTTCTGTTCATTCATTTATGCTTAGTCCCAACTCCCTAGTGTATAACAAACATCAAAAGTTGACTTCAAAAGACTGAGCCGAATGCCACCCTATGCTTTGGAGGAATGACACATGATACCTACCATCTTATTTTAATACTAGTAAGGAGGGCATGTGCAATGCTCGTGTCAGCTTCATCTTGATGTTGATGCAAAGGAGTGGTATGGATCTATTACATACATAAGAGAAATGTACAAATGTAGTATTTATGGAAGTAACATTTACGGAAATTATATGCACATTAGTTTTATGTGCAACTTTGACAATAATAGTCAATATATTGAGCTAAGAGTTAATTTTCTTGAAATTATTTAAATCTAGTCAATGATCAAAATTTCAAAAAGAAACAAGACTACATTTTTTGATATATTTAATTCAGGGTAACTTGCACATAACCTTCTCATCTATACCTTGACATTCATTAACCCCCTCAGCCCATTAATTAGAACATAGTTCCTCCTTTGAGTGAGAGCGGCTTTACGTGCAACTTATCATTCTAAACTAAATGAAAAACCAGGGGTTCCTAAAAAGGGTTATTTACACTTTGATATTCCTAAGTTTCACTCTCTTTTAACTTTAATCTATGTAGCACGGACACGGATCCGACACGGCCATCCGACACGCCGACACGAGACAAATCCTAAAAAATACATAGGATACGTGTGTTCGACACGTGTGTCCGACACGGACACGACACGACACGGCTTCATGTTATGCGTGTCCGTGCTTCATAGACTTTAATACCCCAAAGTTTTATATATAAGACAGTTTGATACCCCAAAACCTCAACTTTGTTCCTCCATTTTATCTAAACTCAAAGCACTAAAATTTTATAACAAAATCATCTCTCATTAACTTTTCTATATTGATATACTTAATAAAATCAGCATTAATTTTTTTGCACTTCAAACTATCAAAATAGAGAGAAAGTAACGTCATTTTCAACCGCACGATTTTTATTCCAAAATAGCTCTTAAGAGGGAAACGTACGTTTAATTTACTTAATAATTCAGCCTTTTTTATACCACTCCACATAATTTTCTCAATGTGAGTATTAACATTATAAATTGTTGGGGAATATTATAGAGATCCGAATATGAATTCATTATAAGTA